AGAAGGGCTGGGACGGAGCTTTACCCGGCCAGGGACACCACCCACCTTTTCATCCCTGAGTCCCTAACCCCTGTATAAAAAGGGAGGTGCCCAGAAAGGACAGATGATCCAGCAATATTCTCTGGAAGCCATGAAACCAAAAAGGACTCACAACGAAGCGCCTAAATTCAGATAAAAGTGAGAGTCAGGTTGGATAGTTCTGCTTTTTGAAAAGCAGATCTAAAAGTGAACAGGATTAAAAGGACAGAAATAAAAGGCACAGATAGTCTAGCTAATGTATCTATTCTTCAAATTCCAGACAAGTCATTGGAAATACACAATGGCTAATTAAGAGCACATCTAATTAAAAACATGGTTCTCTATCCTAGAGAGAAATAATGAATTATTTCAATGACTTGTTTTACAAATCATATACCATAGGCCTTGGTGATAGTCAGATGAAGTGGTGCCAGGTTCTTATGTGTTACAAAAATCCAAGAGAGATTGTCTTTCTTGAAAGGTTTTCATTTCCTGGCATGCATAAGTCATAAACGTATTTCTTCTTTAAAGAAACCCCTCTCCCATGCTAATGAAAGGGAATTCGTAATTCAGGGCAGCACTGCTCATTTATAATATCTATAATAAGAGGGTCAGAGGTTGGCTCAGTGGTAAAATACGCACTTTGCATGCACAAGGCTCTGGGTTCAACCTCTAGTACCAAAAATAATGAAAGAACTAAATTGATTGATGACATTTTCTCTACATCCTTCGGATTTAAACTAAAGTAAAAATATGTAGTTTTGTCAGAAGAGAATCCCTTATATAAATCAAGTCGCTGCATAACTAACCGAAAAGCAAACATTATTCATGTTCAAGAGTGGCATGTTTTTATTTCTACACTACAGAATTTTTGCTTATAGGAACACTTCAGGTACCAGTTTTCCACATTCTCTTTTTAGGGGTGCAGTCAGTACCTTACAGAGTGTGAGAAAACAATACTCTCGAATCAGTTAGACCCGGATTGAAATCAGGCTGGGAAACCTGCGGGTGTCCCCCATTCCTGTAATATCCATCTGTTAACAGGAGAAAAGGCCCAGAAGTCACACTGGAGTCCAGGCACGGAGAGTCCTTGCCCAGCACCCTGCACACTCACTAGCAGGGTGAGTCCGGCTAACCTAGCAAGAACCATCAGGCCCCCCAGAGAAGGCTCTGTGAGGAGCCGCGGCCACGCATGCAGCACCTGGACCCGCCATGGCGCAGGCCACCCACACAAACCCTGAGTGACGTGGGGCTGGACAAGTGAGCTGCTGCCCTGGTTAAAGTTTCTCTGCACAGTTACATTCTGGGGAATTAAAAAAAGAACCAATGATCTCCACCAAAAAACGCCCATGTCAACAACCACCAGGCCAGGGAAGGCTGATGCGTTTATCCTAGGAAAGAGACGGGTGGGGGATGGCACAATCCCTAGAAAGGTGGCCAGTTCTTATACCAAGGACCCCGTCAGCAGAGCTCAGAGAGGGAGAGACGTGAGCCTTGGAAATGTAAATCAAGAAAATAAAATGACCTTCCCTGTGTGCTCTGAAGTCCTTACGCAGTGACGCCCAGCACAACTGATGGCCAAGGAAGCTGTCCTACGAAGAAAAGGCCCGGGGATGCTTTCTTGTGGCCAGAACTGCTCAATGCACACTTTTGCCCAAAATAAAGTAAAGGCATACTTTGGAGCTGTGAATGAAACACTGAATTTACCATTAAAACTTATTTAGAGGTTTTACTGGATGAAATTACCTTTCTTGTGATTTTTTAAATATGTGTCAAAATTAGAAAAAAAAAAGATCCAATTTTAATTTTCCTCTTCAAAAAGAAACTATTATAGCTCCCTCTACTTTGAAGCATTTTTGCCTAATAAAAAAGTAATTATAAAATGTTTAGCATGGTAATTTGCTATCTGATGTTATTAACTTACAAACACTGGAAAATTAAATTTGACATTGCAAATTTAACCTCATTCATCATGTATGCACCTAAAAGCCTGTAACACCATACAAAATTCTAATACTTGTATATTTTGGAATCGTTATGACTCACACAGTAGAAAATAGTTTAAGATAGGTTCTTGTTAATTTGGAGCATCAGTATTAAAAATGTAACACATTTCTGCCTGTAGAGTTCTAGCAATATGATGTGAGGAAACCAGTTTAAACAGAATGACCACAAAACAAGGGCAGCAGAGGTATACTGCAAGGACACACAACCATAGATAGACACTTCTTTCACTTTTCTTCTTTTACCTGCTGATTGTATTTTGAATACACCACTTTAATTTAGTAAACCTCCTTTATGGTTCCTAAAAAATATAAAATACACTGTTTTTAGGTTTCCTAAAAAGGTTCATAAGTAATGATTGTCTGTAAATCATAATCAGCATGTGTCTATGATGCATTATGATGCCCACTCTTCATTCTGCTTGGCCTTATGAAGTCACTTGAGAAAAATTTTGGATTATTTGAAATTTAGATTAGTAATAAAGTCATATAATTTCATTAAAAGATAATTCTTTTAGAAGAAGAGGAGGAGGAGGAGGAGGAGGAGGGG